TAATATGTATTGAATAATTCCGATCGATTTACCAAAGATATAATAAAAGTTATGAAATATCATTGTGAAGAAGTACTATCAATTAGTTATAAGAACAATGATGGGGGGGGGGGGAGAAGTGATCATTGCGACTGTAGGCGACCTAAAAGAGACCTCGAGGCGAAAAATTTCAGAGTCCACTTCTAATCCTCGGAAGTGCTGAATCGGGAAATATCTGCACATATCGAAACCTGAAAGAGAACTGGGCAGCAATGTATTGGGATGGGGGATCAAGTCTCTTTTAGATCTTCTTTGAAAATTCTACGGACGACTGGGAGACATCTCATATTTTGACTCAGGTAAGGAAAACCACAAAAGTATCCACGTAAAATCACGGCTGTATAAAAAATACAGCCATCCACAGTTTTTTTTTCATTCCCATTTGTCGCCCACTTCAAATACCTGCTTGTAGCTCACTTCTAATATCAGGTGTTCTAATAAATGAAGCCTTTGTCTACATATGTTTTTTGCGTGCGGGATTCTTCATTCCGAACAAGATAAAACATTCCAATAATCGGAAATTGCAGGTTTTTCGAGGTGACGTAAAAAATGTAAAAAGGATAAGTACTAATCCGACTCCCGGGAGAACCAAAACAGATTTCAAAATTCTCGTTTGGAAAGAAGATGAGGAAAGAATGTACCAATTCATGTGATTTTTTTCAATTTTTTAAAATGAATTTCCAAGTTTGCGCGAAGTGATTCAATTTCTTATGGGATATAACATGCCTTGAACAGGTCAAATGTGAAAATATTTTTTTTCAAGACTGAATCACTCACCTTGGGGGAACTAACTCCGTAGACTTTCTGGTAGAAGGGAAGAGAACAATACAATTTTTTTTCTCAACGAAATAACAATTTGTTTTCAAGATAAAAATTCAGATTTTCCCTCAATTGCGTGATTTTCAGACGTGTCTACAACGCTTGCTGAGCTCCGTCCACTCGTGTCGTTTGGATCGAATGGTCGATAAACTATCTGGCTATCATTTTGAAGGGAAAAAATTTTTTTCGACATTGTCAATGTAGAGAAAAAGACGAAATAAGATTGACAAATTTTTGTGTAGAGACAGGTGCCCACCTTGTCCGGTGCTTTTATGATGGCCATATACAGTGAAACTGAACCTAGAAAAAAAAATGACCTGCCGTGCGGACCTTTTCTGTGAAGGGACCGACCTTCGATGATCGAAACCATGTGTTGATGTCTTAAAAATGAAAAATACATAATTGTTTATATTTTTTCTTCGAAAATTACCTCATTTAATCGACTAGTTTATACAAATATCAACGAAATTCGAATGATAACAATAGCTCTATTCTAACTATTTTTACAATTTTCATTGTACATCGTTGATTTTAAATTGTTTTTTCGCAAATATCTCGAAACATATTCAACCGGTTTCAGTTATTTATTTTTCAAAATATTCGTCTCGACGTTTTCTATATCAATTGATTCAAATATGCATACCCGTTCATACAGTTCCCGAGATATTTCCATTTTTCGGTATTAAGCATGGAGTTTCCTCTTATTACTAATATATAATACATAATATAATAATATCATATAATACAATACAGCATAATATACTATTTCGCATTGCAGATAGGCTGCACCAGATGGTTTTTTTCTTGAATGAACCTCGCTTGTTAAGCGCTACAATATGCGTGAAAGTTGAAGTTGAAAGTTAAATTTCGGTATGGTCAAGTTACATTTTTCTCCAAATTTTGGTTCGATCTTTTAATAGCTAATGATATAAAGTAATTCACCTAATTTTTTTTTTTGAGTATTCACAAATCTTTATATAGTCATTTATTGTTAAATTAGGACGATTTGAAATGGGAAAGGATATGCGAGGAAGAAAAAACTCCATTCTGATGAAACCATTTGGAAGCTCGCCATCAATATATTGATGGCAAAAGAAACATTAAGACATCACTCAGTGACATGCGCGCTGTCACATATTTGCTGCCTCCCGCTTGGTTAAATAATTTTCTAATGAAAACTTTAAGGTTTCCCTCGTGCAATCCGGTGTCAACTTCCTCAATTTCTTCACTATGAGCATCACATCTTGTGTACTTTCTTCATTCTTCGTGAGCAAACCATTATATTCAGTGATCAGAGCCACACTTCTTTCGGCTAGATCATTCGTCACGAGAAGTGATTTCACAATTTTTGAAGCTTTAACATATTCTTCGCTTTCTCCCCACATTATCGGATCGACATCCAAGAAATTAGATTCAATATTTAAAATTTTGAAGAACTGAATGGTGTTCTGTGTTACGAATTGATCTAAACTTGACTCTTGGATGAAGTTTTGATCCTTCATGTCTGATTTTCGCTTTTTTCTATCGTTTTTAAGGGCAGGTCGAGATTTGATCGCTTCACACATTCTTCTCTTACAGTCTAAATCCAAAGAGTCATCAAAAAAGGCGAAAGCGATCAATTCTTCTGATAAATACCAGAGATGGTTCACAAATTTTCCAAATACAGCGTTGTACATTTTTGGAGATGCAGAGTTGTTTTCAGCTGCCAATTTTTTCAATAATTCTAGGTCATTTTTCGGTGCTTCAACTGCATTTGGGGCTGTGAACCAACTCTTCTGGTAGAAACGAACAATAAAAATACAAATACTTTTCAAACCTGATATTTCATATNATACAAATACTCTTCAAACCTGATATTTCATACGCTTTCATGGAAAATTGATCTCTATACAAAAAAATTTTAAGTGAGTAAATTGCTTTCGCCATCCACCTAGCATGATGAATGGGGCCTAGAGCTCGAAACCGATTGCCATCTGGAAGATTCCCGCCTAGGAACATGATCACCAGCTCTACAAACTCTTGGTAGTCTTTTCGAATGCTCGCAATCTGTGAAGCAGTGAATGGAAAAGCGTTCAGCCTGTCATTTACAATCATTAAGAAAGCAAGTATGAAACAAATCAATAGAAAAGCCTAGCGAATCCGCTAGACAATTCTATTGGATCCCTATAAAATTTTCTATCAACTTTTGGCCGTTTCTATTCACGTGTTCAATAGAAAATATTCTATAGAAACGGCCAAGAGAATTATATTTTTCTATTGAACTTATTGTATTGAAATATATTCTATAGAATTTTCTCGGTTAGAGTTTTTTAAGTTTTCTTCATTCTATTTTTCTTTTCTTTCCATCAAGAAAATCAAAGCAAGAAGAACTTAGAAAAGCTGAACTGAAGAAATTCTATAAAAAAGGGGGGGGGGAGAAGTGATCATTGCGACTGTAGGCGACCTAAAAGAGACCTCGAGGCGAAAAATTTCAGAGTCCACTTCTAATCCTCGGAAGTGCTGAATCGGGAAATATCTGCACATATCGAAACCTGAAAGAGAACTGGGCAGCAATGTATTGGGATGGGGGATCAAGTCTCTTTTAGATCTTCTTTGAAAATTCTACGGACGACTGGGAGACATCTCATATTTTGACTCAGGTAAGGAAAACCACAAAAGTATCCACGTAAAATCACGGCTGTATAAAAAATACAGCCATCCACAGTTTTTTTTTCATTCCCATTTGTCGCCCACTTCAAATACCTGCTTGTAGCTCACTTCTAATATCAGGTGTTCTAATAAATGAAGCCTTTGTCTACATATGTTTTTTGCGTGCGGGATTCTTCATTCCGAACAAGATAAAACATTCCAATAATCGGAAATTGCAGGTTTTTCGAGGTGACGTAAAAAATGTAAAAAGGATAAGTACTAATCCGACTCCCGGGAGAACCAAAACAGATTTCAAAATTCTCATTTGGAAAGAAGATGAGGAAAGAATGTACCAATTCATGTGATTTTTTTCAATTTTTTAAAATGAATTTCCAAGTTTGCGCGAAGTGATTCAATTTCTTATGGGATATAACATGCCTTGAACAGGTCAAATGTGAAAATATTTTTTTTCAAGACTGAATCACTCACCTTGGTGGAACTAACTCCGTAGACTTTCTGGTAGAAGGGAAGAGAACAATACAATTTTTTTTCTCAACGAAATAACAATTTGTTTTCAAGATAAAAATTCGGATTTTCCCTCAATTGCGTGATTTTCAGACGTGTCTACAACGCTTGCTGAGCTCCGTCCACTCGTGTCGTTTGGATCGAATGGTCGATAAACTATCTGGCTATCATTTTGAAGGGAAAAAATTTTTTTCGACATTGTCAATGTAGAGAAAAAGACGAAATAAGATTGACAAATTTTTGTGTAGAGACAGGTGCCCACCTTGTCCGGTACTTTTACGATGGCCATATACAGTGAAACTGAACCTAGAAAAAAAAATGACCTGCCGTGCGGACCTTTTCTGTGAAGGGACCGACCTTCGATGATCGAAACCATGTGTTGATGTCTTAAAAATGAAAAATACATAATTGTTTATATTTTTTTTTCGAAAATTACCTCATTTAATCGACTAGTTTATACAAATATCAACGAAATTCGAATGATAACAATAGCTCTATTCTAACTATTTTTACAATTTTCATTGTACATCGTTGATTTTAAATTGTTTTTTCGCAAATATCTCGAAACATATTCAACCGGTTTCAGTTATTTATTTTTCACAATATTCGTCTCGACGTTTTCTATATCAATTGATTCAAATATGCATACCCGTTCATACAGTTCCCGAGATATTTTCATTTTTCGGTATTAAGCATGGAGTTTCCTCTTATTACTAATATATAATACATAATATAATAATATCATATAATACAATACAGCATAATATACTATTTCGCATTGCAGATAGGCTGCACCAGATGGTTTTTTTCTTGAATGAACCTCGCTTGTTAAGCGCTACAATATGCGTGAAAGTTGAAGTTGAAAGTTAAATTTCGGTATGGTTAAGTTACATTTTTCTCCAAATTTTGGTTCGATCTTTTAATAGCTAATGAGATAAAGTAATTCACCTAAAAATTTTTTTTTTTGAGTATTCACAAATCTTTATATAGTCATTTATTGTTAAATTAGGACGATTTGAAATGGGAAAGGATATGCGAGGAAGAAAAAACTCCATTCTGATGAAACCATTTGGAAGCTCGCCATCAATATATTGATGGCAAAAGAAACATTAAGACATCACTCAGTGACATGCGCGCTGTCACATATTTGCTGCCTCCCGCTTGGTTAAATAATTTTCTAATGAAAACTTTAAGGTTTCCCTCGTGCAATCCGGTGTCAACTTCCTCAATTTCTTCACTATGAGCATCACATCTTGTGTACTTTCTTCATTCTTCGTGAGCAAACCATTATATTCAGTGATCAGAGCCACACTTCTTTCGGCTAGATCATTCGTCACGAGAAGTGATTTCACAATTTTTGAAGCTTTAACATATTCTTCGCTTTCTCCCCACATTATCGGATCGATATCCAAGAAATTAGATTCAATATTTAAAATTTTGAAGAACTGAATGGTGTTCTGTGTTACGAATTGATCTAAACTTGACTCTTGGATGAAGTTTTGATCCTTCATGTCTGATTTTCGCTTTTTTCTATCGTTTTTAAGGGCAGGTCGAGATTTGATCGCTTCACACATTCTTCTCTTACAGTCTAAATCCAAAGAGTCATCAAAAAAGGCGAAAGCGATCAATTCTTCTGATAAATACCAGAGATGGTTCACAAATTTTCCAAACACAGCGTTGTACATTTTTGGAGATGCAGAGTTGTTTTCAGCTGCCAATTTTTTCAATAATTCTAGGTCATTTTTCGGTGCTTCAACTGCATTTGGGGCTGTGAACCAACTCTTCTGGTAGAAACGAACAATAAAAATACAAATACTCTTCAAACCTGATATTTCATACGCTTTCATGGAAAATTGATCTCTATACAAAAAAATTTTAAGTGAGTAAATTGCTTTCGCCATCCACCTAGCATGATGAATGGGGCCTAGAGCTCGAAACCGATTGCCATCTGGAAGATTCCCGCCTAGGAACATGATCACCAGCTCTACAAACTCTTGGTAGTCTTTTCGAATGCTCGCAATCTGTGAAGCAGTGAATGGAAAAGCGTTCAGCCTGTCATTTACAATCATCAAGAAACCAAGTATGAAACTATTTAATAGAAAAGCCTAGCGAATCCGCTAGACAATTCTATTGGATCCCTATAAAATTTTCTATCAGCTTTTGGCCGTTTCTATTCACGTGTTCAATAGAAAATATTCTATAGAAAAGGCCAAGAGAATTATATTTTTCTATTGAACTTATTGTATTGAAATATATTCTATAGAATTTTCTCGGTTAGAGTTTTTTAAGTTTTCTTCATTCTATTTTTCTTTTCTTTCCATCAAGAAAATCAAAGCAAGAAGAACTTAGAAAAGCTGAACTGAAGAAATTCTATAAAAAATATCTCAATAGAATAACTTGTCCAGAAAAATCGAATTCCATAGACTTTATCTATACAATACTTTCTATTGAACAGATCCAAAGAAACGGCCAAAAACTTACAGAAAGGTTTATAGAAGGCCAATAGAATCTTCCAGCGAATTCGCTAGGTTTTTCTACTAATTTTTTTCGTGCGTTAGTTTTTTTTAATAATTCGTTCATAATAATAATTATTATAAATCCGGCATAGTCTACCTTCAGCTGCGAATACGCAAATGTGAGGGCATCTTTCGCATCATCCTTGACTGCGGCTTGAATTTCTTCATCTTGAACTCCTGGCGAAAATTTTCCCTTCTCCAAGTACTGCCACTGTCCTTGAAATCGTTTGAAAATACAAATATCTGGACCAGAGGTAGGGCCCATAGAGACATCAAAGGCAGCTTTCAGCAGAAGCTCAAACACGTGATGCCGACAAGCAAGATATAATAGACTTCTTCCCAATAATTTCTCCAGTAGGACACATGCACCATTTGAACTGCCAGTATTGCTAGCCGTGGTATCGAAAACCATGGCACATATAACATCAAGAAATCCCCTTTCGTCCAAACACTTGAAAATGGCATTTGCCTGCTCTTCACCAGTTCCACTCTCGAGCTTTGGAACCCCGAGTAATTCATCTCCGTCAATGCCTGATATAAGAACAGGGAGTCGTTCGATCTTCTCGTATTTGTTCCCCAGTGCTGCTAATTGCTTGCCGTCCCAATGAACCGTAGTGAAAGATCCGTTTTTTGAGTTATCTTTGATAGTATTACTCAGAGCCTTACGTTGTTTACCCCTGTTACGGCGGATTGTTTCTCGGCTCAAATAGAAATCGTCCACAGTGAAACCAACCGATATGAGAAGAGCAGCGATCACACGTGCCGCCATACGATCGCTGATTTTTNTCTACAACGCTTGCTGAGCTCCGTCCACTCGTGTCGTTTGGATCGAATGGTCGATAAACTATCTGGCTATCATTTTGAAGGGAAAAAATTTTTTTCGACATTGTCAATGTAGAGAAAAAGACGAAATAAGATTGACAAATTTTTGTGTAGAGACAGGTGCCCACCTTGTCCGGTGCTTTTATNATCCGTTTTTTGAGTTATCTTTGATAGTATTACTCAGAGCCTTACGTTGTTTACCCCTGTTACGGCGGATTGTTTCTCGGCTCAAATAGAAATCGTCCACAGTGAAACCAACCGATATGAGAAGAGCAGCGATCACACGTGCCGCCATACGATCGCTGATTTTTGCTCGATCCAAAGCGGCCGTAAGGTCTGGAGTCATAATCAGGCGTTTTTTTTTGGTTTGGGGGGATCTGCATTACACTCAAAATCGCTGGCATCTTGCTCGTCATCTTCAAAGTGCTTCGATAGTTCGTCAAGATCTTCCTCTTCATCCCACTGATAATTACTACAATTGGCGAGAATTCTGTTCGGTTTCACTGCAAAATTGGCGGAATTCACAATTAGTAAGAATTTACTAGGAATTTTGATAAGAAGAGTGAGAGGATAGAGAAGAAAGTTCTTCATATCGCTACGCCCCGAAGTTCGGCAGCCTGGCCGCCGCGATTGGCCCGAGCCCGGCCGATTTGTTTTTCCCCTACCTGGGTAAGCGGCTTCTAGAGTAAACCCATCAATATACTCAGTAAACGTATTCATTTCCACGCTATGTAAATTAATTCTGGAATCAGGAATTTTGGAGAACAGGGAACATTCATTTTTTTTAAATTGATGAAATTCTCCTCTCAATGCGTTATATGGATCATCAAAAAAATATTCCATGAGAAAAAAATGATTTTTATGTAGATTATTAATGTTAATAATGAGTTAAAAGTTGATCGCTCGGGTTAACGTACGAGAGACAGCGTGTGTCGCTCCTGTCGGCTGCCGCTACGAGAGTGAGGGAGAGGCATGGTGACTACATTGCTGTGACGTCACAGCCCGCTCGAGACGTCCAAAAAGTGCACTTTATAATGGATCATTTCCCATTGAAAAATGCAAATTGGAGGGTTATAAAAATTGTTGGGGAGATGGTTACAATCTCTAGATAAAGAAAAAAAATTAAATATCGTATTTTCAATTCTCCTAAATCCCTGATTCCTGGATTGGTTAATATACTCTTTAACATCCAACCGTTCTCATCTCATTAGCTTTGGGAAATTGACGAAAAGGACAAATGGCTGAAAGCGTGCAGCACAAAACTTAACACGTTTTTTTTTATTTTCAATTTTTCTCTACCTTTGACCGCATCGATTCAAGTCTGGCTAAGTCATTTTCACCGCGGAAGTGCACTTAGTGATCATCATGACTTTTCTTCTATCACTCTCAATAAAGGAAAATGAATGGAATACATTTAGTACCTTCTTCTTGAGGCTGCGATTTTTCATATCCGTGTTTAAGCGGAGGAATCCAATCTGTTGTATCGATGATTTGGTCCAAATAACCCTTTCTCCCCGGTTCTCGGTGTAGAGCCAACAGCATTTTTGCAGTTCCATTTTTCATTGCATCCACTTTTGACTGACACGCAATGTCAAACAAATCATTCAACATACACTTGAAGTCAATTTCCCTCACTTGTGCTTTAGCACACGTCATCCTACGCACAGGGCCATTCTTTAAAACCTTCCTGTATTCTTTCACTAATTTTTCCAACTCAGTAATCGCATGATAGTCTTGGATGATTGGAATTCCTGCATGTTCCCAGAACAAGATACACTTTTGAATAACACATTTTGCAGCTTGCCGAGTATTCAATTTCGGATCAGCGTGTCTCATGTAATGGAAAAAACACTCTAACACTTGTTTGTTCGATGGCAATTGATTACCCCGAATTTCTGGCCGTTCATTGCCAATTAATGGAATCTCGGTATCCAGTCGAGTTTTTGCCATTTTCACGTATTTTCTTTTTTGAAGAAATTGCACATTAAAATAAAATTAGGAAATTAACTTTGTGAAACAGACGAAAGTGTCAGGAATCCTTCGATGTTGCCTCTTTCAAAGTTGTACTCTAACTGACCATTAGTACAGCCAAGAAAATGGTTGGAAAATACTTTATTGTCAGTATAGCATAATAGTGGGAGGCAACAAGAGAGAAATAAGGATTCACAATTCTGTGTACCCATACCGTAAATCTCGCCCAATTCATTAAAATTCCTCGAAGGACAGTAATTCGCACACACCCATGGTTCAAATGAGATTGACGGCACTCCCCAAATTTCACTATTCTATAAGACACACAATTCAGAACAGTATCTTCGAAACATTCTAAGGTATTGTTGTGAATTTCCCGTGAATTTAATGGCAGCAATGTTCAATTCTGTTGTGAATTGACTTGCGAACATAAACCTCAGTTTCGTTTTGTCAGTTTTCGGTAAATATTTTCTAAATAGCAACCAACAATGAGATTTTCAAAAAAGCATGCTTTTCTCTACAGCAAAAATATTTTTGGAAATTCCGCTATCTCCCTTTATTTACAAGATATTTATAGATAACTGCCTCAGTACAAAATACACATATTTTAGTTTAACAATTCACAATAGAATTGTTTAGCAGCTGTTTAATTTGTAGACCTCATTTTGTTCTATGAAAAATATTTGTAAAAAAAATTTCTCTTTCTCCTTGAGATTCTGATATATTTTCGGAAAACTATTTTTTTTTTAAACTAAATTTTATTAAATTATGTTTTTGACTAAATTTTGTTTTTCTCTGCACTTCACCCCTGAATTAATGAGAGCGCCAAAATTAAAAATATCTTTTGCTTAGAAAATTTTCTGAACTGCACGGAGAAATGAAAAGAAAAAAGTTTGCGGAACGACTCCAATTGCCCGATGAAAACTTTATTTTTGAGTGTTTCATGTTAGAATGCCTAGATAAATGAAAAATGCGATTTTTTTTCGAAAAGTTGGATAAATTTCTGATGAAATTTATGGGATGAAAATTTTTGTTGTTGTTCACAATGACTCGTAATTGAAATTTGAAAAATAGTAAATTTCGCTCTTGGGGAAAAAAATAGAAAAAAAATTTCTAAAATTTGGAGGCAATTCTTCATATACAGAATTGGCGGATTCACTCCTATAAATGAAATGTGACCGATAGGCACGGAGATCTTCTTGTTAATTAACAAATAGCTTCTCAACGAGTTACTGGAAATCGCAATGTCTCAAAAACTAGGAAGAAGAAATCGAGACATAGATCGTGAAAAAATTAGGCAATTCCACGAAAAATGTTTTTTTGTGTTTCATCTTTCTATGACTCATGCCCGTGGAGTTATTAACATTTATCTATCGATGCGCTCTACCCAGAATGTGCCACTGAAAGCGTCTTCGTCTTACCTACAGGGACTTGTATAGTACACTCTCTGTTGCTCACAGCAAGCGCTCGCTCTGGGATCAGCAAAGATGACGCTATACAACATTAGTACGCTGGATGACGCACTAGGACGGTCGACGGCCATTGTTACTACCTGACCCTAAGCGGTCGTTCAGAAAAATTAACTTCTACCCATCATTTATGACCGTTGACTGCCAGTGGGTCAGATATGTTAGTTAAACTTCAAACTAGTCGCGCAAACCTCTAGATTTGTTTTAAAAATTCGAAAAAATTCACAAGGGTCGATGCGTTTTTCTCTCATCTTTTTCCGGAATGAGAATTTTGAAATCTGTTTTTGTTCTCCCGGGTGTCGGTCTAATAAGTACGTATCAGGGTAATTTAGGTAAATTACGTTGGGAACAGACTGTACTTTACTAATACAATTTATATGCCCAACGCTGCGTAAAACTGTATCTGATTCGAACATGAATAAATCTATTCCTCACGGTATTTTGACCTTTCTTTTTTAAATATTTTAATGGTGTCCTTACATTGTTGGATTAAAGCCAATAATAATTCAGAAATAATTAGCTAGTGCTAGGGATCAGATCAGGGTTCTCCGGCTGTGTAGGTAAAGACCTTACCGACTCTGCCATATACCCGATAGAAGACATTGTGATCGGAAGAAAAATTCGAAAATTTCAGCCGAGGAAATTCTATAGAAAATCTCTCAATATAATACCCTATACAGAAAAATCAACTTATATTGAATTCTTCTGTAGAATATTTTCTATTGACCATTTCATTAGAATTGGCTCAATACTAATAAAAAGTTGAATAGCAATCCGATAGAATTGTCTAACGAATTCGCTAGGTATTTCTATTGAATTTTCTCGCCCATGCGGTGAGTGGGTTACTTTGCTAGAAAGATACAACAATCAGTATGAGAAAATAAAAATAACACAATAGCAACATGTCCTTTCCTAGCGTTGGAATAATTTCGTCTTTATCGATTGGCCAGTTCAAATGTTGCAGTCGATATTTTGCCTGCATCTGAATAGCTAGCAATAAAACGATAACTTACAAGTTGCTCGGAAATTCCTACTTTTCCGACCATTAACTCGTTCATCCATGAGCAATAAAGGAATCAAATCATAAAGAACTTAGTTATTCACAAAGAAATACAGAAAGTATAAATAATTTTGCCGATGACCTAAAATCGATCCCCGAGTAGCAGAAACGGATGAAGTTCGAACAAATAGATTTCGAATTCCTCCAGTACTTTCTAACCACCTGGTAGTTCATCGACTCATACAAAATCTAGGCAGGTGTAAATATTTATCTAGATGAAATAATTCCATCAGATTGAAAGGAAACCCGCAAGGTCACACCTTCCAACGGGCATGATAAGATATTGAAGTCTGCTTATGCTATTCAACAGTTGTTTGTCGCTCCGGAGAGCATTAGAGACGCTCACTTAACGTCCTACATATCTATATAAAGTGCTAAATTCTAGAACGACATAAGAACGTTGCAGACCTATTCTTAGTGATCAGGATTCACACACTAAAGTTTCTAAGAATACTTTTTTTGTATTTCAAAGAAAAGAAATGGCTTCTTCAATGTGTCCATTATCATCGGAATCCTTGAAAATATCTCAGCGACAACTTTTTGTACCTTCGCTGCAGGAAATCAAGAATGGTTACGTATTTTTGAGGTTAACAGTGAATATTTTAAGGATGTTCATGAAAAATTTATGAGAGATCTAAAATTGTTTGTGTTTTGCTAATGCAGTTGTCAGTCCAGCATTGGCTGAGAATTTTTCCGAAGTTTTCGTGGAAGTTGTCGACTGTCCGGATTTAACCCAGCAACCATTCACACTCGCTGCTGCAGGTAACAATTTTATTAAAAAATTGGCAAATCATAATAAGGTAGAAATATTATTCTGAGTTTTTGTTTTATCAATTATTCGAATTTTAGCGGGGAGAAACAATAGATGCGGTGTAGAGAGGGTGACGCTATTGATAGATTCAGAAAATGTTTAAGTCGAAGTGTGGCTGATAACCTTTCTGGTATCATTATCTTTGGGAATGAGAAGAAACTAATTTTATTGTGTCAGAGGGCCAATAGTTCATATCTTGGAAATGATAACAGCTGAATGATTTATTTATGACATTCTCGGTTGGGAATTTCCGTGCGCTTTACACATTTATATACTGAATTGCGGTCTCATGTTGCAAGTGGACTTTTCTTTTCCCCTTCTAAAAGCTTTTTGTACCTTTCGAATAGCTTGTAAGAAATTTACGTGGGAGGGTGAATCTTTTATTTATATTCTGTTTTTTTTATTACCTAGAAAATTACTAATTTCCCGACCCAATGGCAGGGAATGATGGTAATGACCTCGGAAGTATAATATTGAATTTTGATGATTTATTCACGCTACATAACCCCCTCCCCTTTTTGAGTTTTTTAAAAAGGAAGTTGTCAAAATTGAAATTCGGGAAATTGGAATTTAAAACAAATTAAATATTTTGTAAGAAGTTTCCAAATTTTTAATTTCAAATTTCAACTCGCATCGAGAAGTTATTCATGCATCACTTGAACGGACACATGAAGAAAATTTTTTTTATCTATTTTTTTTACAATTTCTATTGAAATTTACTTTAAAAAAATTCATTTTAACATGATTCGATGAAGATACAGCGTTGAAAAAAAATCACCATCTTTTATTTCATGTTTTTCTATCAAGTAACGGGAGGAAAACTTCCATTTTGTGCACGCGCCATATTGAAAAAATGTATAAAACTGACAAATTTTGAGGTTTTTTTTACTGGAAATCCACTCATAAATTATTCGTTGGGCCTCGTTGATAATATGCTCACAAATTGGATTTTTTTAGATTGTTTAGATTAATCCATCATTTCATGGAGATTGAATCTTTAGTTTTCAGTTATAAATCTCTTGAAAAATTACATTAATCGATTTATACATATTAGTTTATATATTATCGAGATACGCGGCAGCGTATCGGCCAAGAAAAGTTTTGATTCCGATTGTACAACATCAGGCCGATCGCTGCCGTGTATCTATACACGAAGCAACTACCCCCTCCACTACCTCCAAATCATATCCATTAGATAAAATACAAACGTGACGAGCTACATAAAAAATATTCTTAGTTACATTATATAAATTGGACACAAGCTTCTCATTGATGTAACTATTTTTTTGTTCGAAGCAATATTTGAAAAAATACGCGCATAGCAACGGAATCATATGCACATTCTCGCATTTCACATCAACACCTATAATTTTTTTGTTATGGAGTTGGTAGCAGTGCAATACAACCTCAACCACCAAGGAGGGAAGCCCGGGAATTTACAAATTGAACATGGTGCATGAATGATGAATTCTACAGATATTTTTCAATCAAGTTTCGTGCAAAAATGAATTCTCGAAGAAGCAAATTCAGTCGGAAAATCTTGAATAAATGATTAAAAGTCGGTGAAAATAACGGCTGTGGAATAGAACTATTTGTTTTACTTCGATTGTTAATTGGAAAGATGATTTATCTTGTGAAAAATAAATGAGCCGAATTGAATTGAAAATGAAAAAATTTACAGGATATAAAAACGATTCCTTGTTTATTTTGAGAAAATAATGAAATCTCCCCAAAAAAATAAAAACAAATGTTTTTGTAAAACAACTGCGCCAAGAAAAAGTTTTGTTTGGTTCTTACTGGGAAGTAGAAATTTTTGAAAAATACAAAGAAATGAAAAAGAAAGCCTAGTCAGCAATGTCAAATAAACGAAAATAGGGCACAATCAGATTTCTATAAGAGAAATTGTTTCAAATCGAATGAGGATTTTAACAAAATTCTTGATGAAATAAAAACTTAGTAGAAGGAGGACCAACGTTCTCGGCGCGGAGTTTTTCAACTCATTGTCAAGTATCAATATAATTCTCCATCTGCTGATCTGCGCCAAGGATGTTGGTCCTCCTTCTACTAATTTTTTATTTCATCAAGAATTTTTTTTAATTATTGTATACTAGGGGGCTACGCCCCTTGTTCGCTCCGCTCGCCAACCGCCATATCACTAACATATGACCCCCATGACCCTTATTTTCACCCTATGACCAATAATCTGACCCTTGTGATACTTATTCTGACCCTCATTATAACCCTCATGACCCTTATGACCTTCACTTTCTGACCCTTCATTTCTGACCTTTAATTTTGGAGTATTAATTTCAAGTAACAAACTTCCATCACCAAAAGTCGATATGGATTTTGATAATATAGAGACTTCAAATCCCCTCGTCAAGTCGGGTGAGCTATTGAAACTCCAAACAAAGAATTCTCTCCTTCGATTTTTACTAAAAACTTACAATAAGTTGGTGATTTTATTTTTTTCGGAAAGAAAACTGGAAATGAATAGAAATATGAAAAAAATGGAATGAATATATGAACATAATTTGTATAATAACTATTGGAAGTATTATGATTCAGTAATGAAGCCCAACGAATGATTTATATTTGGATTTCTAGTAAAAGAAATCCAACATTTGTCAATTTTTTTCCAGCATGACGCAAGCCAAAAATGAAAATTTTCTTCGCGTTATTCAATAGAAAAACATGAAATAAAAGGTACTGATTTTTCTCAAAGTTGTATCTTCAACTAATCATGTCAAAATGAATTTTTGAAAAGTGACTCATTTAAAAAAAAATGGAAATTATTGAAAAAAAGAAAATGAATAAATTATGTTACATAAATGTTAATATGTTTTTAATTTTTCCTTTTTTTTTCACATTTTTGAAATACTTTTTGACGGCTAAGAACTATGACATTAGGAATAGATTTTTTTTGCGATAAAACTGGCAGGAATGGAAATAAAAATTTGAAAAGTTGTATGCAGGCATATTTTATTATGATAACAACAGAAAAAATCGACGATACAAAATTCGTTGGGAGTAGTTTCACTATGAGTCTTATACATCGACATTGATTTCAATTTAATTCGTTCAATAATTTTTTCAATATTTGCATAATATTTGTATGAAAGTTCCAAAAATTAGTTGTGGTACGATAACTAAAACACTGTTTTGCATTCACTAAATGGTGAGTTGAAAAACTTGCTTGGATACCCTTTTGACCAAGTTCGAAGATGAAGCCGGTAGCAATAATCGCTGTTTTGATTCATGTGAAAATTAGAAAAAATTTTGGATTCCGTGAAATTAGGAATTCCGGGGAAATCTTGAGATATCATGCTCCAAAGGAATTTAATTACAGCCAGAGTTCGGATAAATAGTAATCTGCAAGTACCGTTATTCTATTATTCGCTTTTGCAGAATTTAGAAATAAAATTTTTCCATTAATTGAAAATTCAATAACACAAATAATCTATTACGCCCCGAGTCAAAATATGGAACGGCTTTCGGTTTTCTGTAGTGTTCCCGAAAGAGATCTAGAAGAGATCTGAGGGCTCCATTCGAAGATGTAGTGTTTCGATGCTGTTTGAAGTCTCCACATGTGCAGTTATTTCCCGATTCAGCCCCGAAGAGAATGAAAAGAGGGCTTATATTATTCATGCCGATCCTCCTGTTAATCTCTATTAGTACCTCCATATACTTTCTGTCTCACTCAGTGATTCTCCACGTCGAAAAATACCGGGGTGTTTCAAAACAACTTTTAAACCTCTCGTGAGTAAATGCATGAAAAGATGAGGAATCCGGGAAAAATATTTAAAAAATATCCGGTTACCGCAAATTTAAACGATTAAAGATTGAAAATACCTAATAGGAAGGACGCATTATGGTGCCTGGGCAGGAGTGGGGACGGAGCGAGACGAAGCGCCAACCGTGTCGCTGGGGCTATGTTCACGTCCCTATTATCATGAATCTATTAATGGGTGAAGAAGGGAGTGCTCTCATCTATGGTGAAAGGGATTAAATTTTATGGACATGTAGCTACCAGGTAAATAATCAATTTTTAGATGAAACCAATTTAAATCATTTGGGATTGTTTAGGAATGGAATTTTATAGCTTAGGGATTAATAGTTCATTTAAAATTTATTACTTTTTATATGGCGTATAGTATAGGTAGGTGGTATCATTAAATATTGATCTGACCAGCATGAAGCGATGCAAAATACTTTGGGAAGGCAAAAAAACATCAATGTGGAGTTTAGGAATCAATATTCATTTTTTAATCAACTTTGTCCTAATCGTGGCTTGGGGGGCAACCTGCGCATACGTCACCTTGCCCAACGAAAGATCGGCTGTGCATTGGAGAGATCCCTCCTCCCGCAATCGATCGCATATGGATTAAATTTCGTGATCGATAATGCATTATTAAATATCGATTGCAGCCCGTATAGATGAGGATGTTATTGACAATAAAATGATTCTGGACAATAAGCTGGGCATATGGAATGAACTGATAAGCGATATGCAGACAGTAAGCTAGTAAATAATTTTCTAAAAATATTAATTCATTGAATACGAATATCAGTCTAGCGATTAACGTAGGAGATGTATCGTCCTGTAGTTCCTCCCCTGAAACAGATATATTTATGTCAACTCCCCAAACTAGCCACCGCCAATTATTAAGTTAACTATTTAAAAACAAAAATACTTCTGTTTAATGAATATGATGTTGAAACATTGAAATTTGGGGTCAAGTGGACATGAGAATGGAAAAATATGATCTATGCACCTTCATGATATTTCAGGAATACATCCCTACTAGGGGAGCTGAAATTAAAATTTTCCACATCAATTTTACTAGAATCAACGTAAATGAAGATGGAATAAATAGTTTTTCATTTTTTATGTAAATGTTTTCTCAAAAATATTCTTATTTGTCTCATGAGATCCGAATGCAGAAGTGGACGTCGAAATATTGTGCAAATCATCCTTAGAATCATCTGTACTCTATTTCAACACCCACTCTTGCACTCGGGCCCCAAAAAAACATTCACATCTTGTCTGACATCTCTGGTCTGAACTCTAATAGGGGAGACCGAGGCAAAGGGGGGTAGCTAAGACAAAGAGGCGGGTGTCAGAGCTTCTATCATACTTAGATTGCTTTTTAGCAATCACTATTTACCTTCTAGAATTATCAACTCTCATCTCCAACTTATTACAGTTGGGGGCACAGTGGGGTAATATCCAAAAACTTTAAAATGAGTCGTAAAATGAATCTACTTTAAAATAATTATAAATGTATTCTTTTCGTTTTTCACCTTCGAATCTCCAAAAAATGATAGAAAAACTCTGAAATCAGTAGGAAAGGTCCCGATGAAACGATTTCTTAATTTGGGGAACGATGGGGTACGCATGAAAGAATTCTCTTTCTTGAATTTCATGTTCATCAACAGAAGAGTACATTGTAATGATGTTCAATATATTTTTTTAAATTTTCGGTATTGATTAAATTAATTTTACATAGCTCGTAGCGAATGACGTTATTGACCACAGTGATTACAACTCTCGCGTTCGCGTCGGCGATTACACTTCATAGCAGTCAAGAATTTCATATTTTTTCATGAGACGACAAAAAAATTCAATAATTCTCCACGTTGGAAAATTCTCTCTAAAGTAGAGTGGAAAATTTTCGGGTAAAAACCCTGGAAGATTTCCTGGAAAATGAAATCTTCAGTATCCTTCTCCAGGAAATTTGTCATAAAATTCCTCAGGACTTCTCTCCGGAATTTCCTCAGGAAATTTCCTAAGAGACTGATCAGGAATTTCCCATAGAAATTCCTCAGGAAGTTTCCCAGGAATTATCTAAGGAAATTTTACAAGAATTTTCTAATGAAACTTTTCAAAAATTTGCCGTAATTCTTCCCAGGAAATTTCTCAGGAATTGCCCCAGAACAGTGCTAAGGTATTTTCCAAGGAGATTCCTCAGGAAATTTCACAGAAAATTACTCAGAAATTTCCTCAGGAACTTTCTTAGAAATTTCCTCAGGAACTTCCTTAGGAATTTCCTTAGGAACTTCCTCAGGTATTTCCTCAGGGACTTTGTGATGATCTTCAACTCATCAACAATTTTCATCACAACTTTTTTTTGAGCTTAAGGCTATGCAACGCAGAGTTGACCCTAGGCGCTAGCCTATTTTTATTGTTTTATTTTGGAAAAATAGGCAAAATACAAAAAACGTTGAAATTACACAATTTTATCAACTCAAAACTGTACTAAACCCGGGATTCACTAACAAGGGGGAGGGGAATCGATACCCCCTATGGATTCTCAAAAGTCTAAGAAATGAATATCACACAAAATTTATGCCTTAATGAACCAATTATATTGTGCAGAAAATACAATAAAATAATCAAATCAAATTTGCAACCAAGAATAATAATTTTAAGTAGAATTCTAAGAATTAAACTGGGCCAATCTGCCCAGGGGTCTGTTCAACTCAGCGATAATATGGATATTATTTTACAGTATGAGGAGAAAATTCCACTTCCCTCACTCTCTCAATATACAAAGATGAATTTTGATTCTGAGCTGGTTCACAGCATCCAGAATTTGGCTCAGATAAATTGTATCT